AAGTGGTTTAACTTATTCATCAAAATAATTCAAGAACATTAATATAGTACTTGTACACAGTATTTGATTGATGTAAATATAAAAGTGCTAAGAATTTCCTTTGAAATGTTTGATTAGTATGCTAATTATATGCAAATTAAATATGCTAATTATATGTGGATGTTAACGCCATTACAGAGACTATAATTGGTCAGTAAGTGAGAGATGTATCCTTGTTAAAGACATTTGTTTATTTGTCTCTCCCGTTTCTGATCAACATCCTCTGTGAATAATGAACATCTGTCTATCTCCTAATACATTGAACCGCTCTGGTCAGCATCCGGTGTGAATGACAGAGATTTGTGTTCTCCAGTCCATCTTAGCATTCAGACAACTCTCGGTACGTGTTAGTGGGAATGTGACAACCACACCGTCTGAACGTTCTGGTACGAGCCGAAAATAGACCCATCAGTATCCGCTTCTTGAACCCTGCCCATATCGGCATATGCCGAAAAATGCCGATCTGAACGTTTGACTTGGTTGTTGGAAGAAGGAATTCACACCAAAAAACACGAACAGATTTCGTTTGATCTTGGCAAAATCCTTGCAGCATTTACGAAGTTCGATCAACAACCATCGTGAAACAAATACTGTGTATTCGGTGTCATTTCCAAGTTTTACTGGTGACCTCTTGACCTACCTTATTCAAAAGCCAGCAGCACGTCGCTGACGGAATAGTTTTTAATTGCGGTGTTCTGAATATGCATTTCAGTCAAAAAATAAATTACATAAAACCAGAACTGATCGTGTTGATAACATTAAGCTGCAAGAAAGTGCCTTGACAGTTGACAATAGCGTTTTAATCTGTAAAATGTTGATCAATACGTTATGAATTTGAGGTCAAAATTAGATTCAGGGCCGTGACGTCGGTTATTGCTGTGACGTAATAAAGTGCATACTTGCAGCTCAACACAAAAATAATTGACATACAATGAAAAGATGTTTTCTGAATACCAGTGAGTTGCGAATTATTGGGTTATTCCAATCACTAGGTTAGGCACGGCAATATTAGAGTTGCAATAAAAAAGAAATGAGTTGAGTACTCTGTCGTTAATGGCGCTGTCCACACGTTATCGAGAAGAACGTGACGTAGAGGCGAAGGTTGCTAATACTATTTTAACACTACACGACAAAATAAAAACAATGTTTTTATTTCATTTTAAAATTCAGTGTTATTGTAATGTACATGATTTTACAATAGCCCCAAACACGTCTGGACATAGGAAACTCAATAAAGTATAACCAGAGGAACATTACTTGGGGTTTGCGACTACGGTGACATGATACCAAGATCCCGTTACAATCTCGCTCTCGCATAAGCGTTCCAACTCAGAAAAATGCGAATACGCATGCTCGAGGTAACTCGGATACTGGGGTGTCCAGGTGAATGAAAATAGCTGCTCACGATATGACGGATTACGATAACTATATTTTCTGTACATTTTCGATGTATTACATTTTTTCACTATGAATGTGGTAATACATGTTTTATTGTTTTATTACAAACTGCCTATGTTATGTCAGAAGGGAGTAGCATCAGTCTCGCTATCTACGAGGTGAGAATTGAATGAAATCTTGGCATGATGTCACCATACAGTACTATGTGCGTTGCAAACCCCAAGTAATGTACCTCTGGTATAACATAATAGTGGATTCGGGTAGTCCTTCACGGGATGTATTGGGTACTGAACTGATCACCACGGGTTGTTTTCCGCGATAGGCTTTTTAATGACATGATCTCCCTGAACAGTCGTATCTCCAGTACCGACTCTAGTCACACTCAGACTAGTAATATTACTAGTCTGAGAGTCACACAAGTAAGGGGGGGTCACGTTTCATATTGTCGCAAATGTATTGTGACTTCAGGTTCCGCTCACGTCGATACTGGGTTGTCGTAACCAATATCACGAAGTCACGTGTTTTCCGATACGAACGTTGCGAGATTTGTCACCAAATACAACACCGCGCATTCCAAAATTCTATTTTTATGACGCGCCGTGCAGTGTTCCAAACTCAGACAATCGCGTTGTTAGCAACGAGTTCAATGTTCAGCGATATATTCATTCTTTTACAGCGTTACGAGCGTTTTTACTTCACGTTACGATAATATTACAATGAATCCATCCGAACAAAACGAATGGCAATCTTTTTCAAAGTTTGTGAACAAGTTCAAGGACAGTGACAGGTAAGTATCTTGATATATTCGGTGAAACGTTTAGAGGCGTAGACATAAACAATGATTCCGCGCACATTTGCAAAACACGATGCCTGATGTGGCAAAGGTACCATCCTAGTTAAATTAAAATTTGTTCGTAGTCATTTCTTGAGAACGTTTGGGGATAATGGCCAAGTAGGATGTTTTATTATTCTAATTCATTATTGTAGATGTTGCCAAAATAACCAAAGAATGTTACATGATTTTTTTATTTAATATTTTCTCAGAAAACTGGTTCAAGCTGAGGTGAATGTCCCCAAGCAAGCAATAAGAGAAGTCTGTCCAGATTATGAGCAGCGCCACCGTGCAACGTCAAACTCAGAAACTCCCATGGTTATGTGCGATAGTTGTGACGTCAACGCCAGGACAACTTCGGTTGAAAACTCCAGAAACTTTAGCACAAATGCATCCTATGTTAAGAAGTTGTCAAGGAATAAAAAGCAAAGTAGACGAAAGAATCTACCTTTCAGTGCCGAAGAGGGCCATATACAGATCTCTTCGAGTTGTGAATATGCAAATCGCCGCTGCGAAGTGGAAAAGAAAAGACCGCAGATCGCGAGAAAGGTCAAGTCTGAAAACAAAACTCACAGAAAACGATTTTCCGATCTTGGCAAAAACAAAATAGAACCATATTGTCATCACCATGGCTACAAACGTGCCAAAACGAGGACGCGTTTTACGGATGAAGTCAACACAGTCGGTGACAATAAAAAGTTAATTTTATATCGTTTTCTGCAAGATACTATTGCCTTTAAAAACTCTTTACCAAATCCATATGAATTGATCATAGATCTTTCTGAAGTTATCACTCCGGATGATGATCGTATGAGTAGAGAAATGAATCTTAGTAATTTAAACGACCATAATATGGAACGAGACCATGACATTGACTCAGATATATCATGTCTGTTTCTGCATGACGACTTCTATCAAGACAGTCTGAGAGACTTCGATGACAGGTCGGAATTATCATGTGTATTATCTGATGTGTCCGATAATACATCTCAGGTCAGACGTAGCTTTACATATTCTCGCCCACTTCCGGTGTGCCCCCAAAATAACCGTCGTCAACGTGCACATGCTGTTCAAGTTATTGATAAAACCAAGTTTACTCGTATACGCCAATCGGATTCGCCGACTACTCAATCTATGTATAAAGATGTACGTGACAAATCTACAACAGTGCGACCTTTGCCGAGTACACCAGATAAGAAACGTCCATTGCCAGATCCACCCTCTGAAAAGCGTCGGCGACAATCTGCCTGTCCAAGCCCATCTTTCTGTCAGCGGCGACTGCCACATCCTCCAATTACGCCGCCAACGCCTAAAGTACAGGTAGACGATAGCTCGTTCGTCAGACCACGCTATCATGTTCGCCCAGCTATCCAAGCCTTCGTTGACAACGCTTTTGAGAGAATAGGACGTTTGAAAATGTGTTTTACAGGAATAAGAATGAGACTGTTTAATCATTAAGGCAAAACTAAATATTATGAAATAATGACTGATTTATTGTCTGTAGAAATATCTACGCGCACATTAACACATAACAACTGTCTAAGACAGACCGGAAACGGAAACGAGACAAAAACAAAAGATTTTTCAAGTTAGCATGGGGGAAATAACGTTGCTAAGTATTATCGTCAGGGAAAGCTATTGTTTAAGCTAGTCTGTGATTGGTTGTTGGCAATGTTTGGGGGATTTTCACCAGTTTGTGACGTAGGCTTGTCTTAGAGAATCGTGTTATTTTGTATATTCTACATTTATAAGTGAATTTCCATTAAATATATTAACCATAACTGTACATGATTGTGAGACGATGTTCCTGCTCTTTCAAATATCAGATTTCCATTTACTGTCATGACTGACGATTATATTTTATTAATTTACGTATAGCTGTACTTTAGAGCCTGAGTTATATCAATTATCATAAGTTCCGTAAGTCGAATCAGGACCTTGCAATACAATACATATTTAAGGAGCAAATACAATTCTATATACATTGAATCACATCCGGAACGGCTCGGCAGTTAGTTGATCAATGTATAAATTTACGAGTTCACGTAAGAATTTACGATACTCATACTTGAAACCGAGAGTGTGGCGCAAGGTTTGAATTTGTTTCCCAAGCGCCCTCACTCTATCAATATGTCCACAGCCATATGCCCAACATCTGATCGATGTATGTGATCTGTTGATCACAGCGCCCCCATAGTTCAACTTGGATTATACTTACCTGCTAGATGGTTGTCAACCGAAACAAATAATCTGATTATATCGATAATGGTTGTTATAGTGCCAATAAAATACAAAAAACAAACAAATTCGTCACAGAATGGTTTTAATTCAATATCCTTAAACTTTATTTTGAGATGGTAAGTTCAAGCTCACACCTCAGTCCTGAATTTGACCTCTATTTGAATAATTCCATAGTGACGTAAGGCGGCCATTTTGTTTCTTTATTGCATGGTTTCGGATATCAGCTCAAATCGTTGCTGTTGAGATTTGTTAGGACCAGACTGACCGTCCCTCGCAAACATAGGATTGATTGACCAGAACAAGAACAGCAACACAAAAATGGAAGAAGAAGTGAACGAAACGACAGAAGAAATCGCGAGAGAGAGCCCTGACGACGTCGAGATACCCCTCGCCGGTGGAAACGAATCGCGCCCAGCTGGGTGAGTCTTTAGTCAACAAACCAAAACAAAATACCGCACTCTTATGAAATAGTGTTAGTTACATTGTGGACCTTAACAAATTTTCCGTTCGTTTGTAACAAAAAAAAATACAGAGGTAAATTGTTTAAAATAATTCATTGGCAGTGTAAAATATACGTACATTCATAGTGTGCACGCCAAATCAACAAGGGAAACATGCCATTCCTTGATGTTCAGTTTTGTTCTCGACAGAGAAAACGTACACATTCCTACATATTGTTGTTAATTAATATTCCGTTTAGCTGTCAAATTAGCAGTTTATGGTAAATGCTTTGCCGTCTTTTGAAATTATGGGAGATTCTGCACTTTCATACGATAAACACAAATACACAGTTCCTCTATGATAGAGGGACTGTGACAAATCACAGTACTGTGTTTTGTGAAGTGTCATGTTTCATTGAACGTATCAAAGAAATGCACCACATACCGTACTACTAGGATTTTGTAGACGGTCGCTGGGTATCCACAGCACTCAATAAATAAACAAACTTTATTTTCAAGTCAGGGGTGTATACAGTAAGATTCCGGAGGGGGGGGGGATTATATAATACTGTAAAATGACTAATTTTCGCTGGGTTTCAATTTCGCTGATTTACCATTTCAGGCATATTCAATGGGTTATAAATTCACAGTTTTATCATTTAGGTGATGTGTTCTATTCTAAATTTTACATATTCACTGCGTTTTAATTTAGCGTATTTTGCAGTCAGCAAAATAAGAAAAATTAAAACCCAGTGAATAATTAATCCTTTCACAGTATATCATATGCTGTTCATACTGCATGCAGCTGCATCACAGTAACAGGGTCATAGTGAGCACACCTTGAACACATTGCTCTTAAGTAAACCACTCAATTTTTCTTATAGCAAAACATTTTATTGAACTGACTTTTAATTTGTAATCTAAAGAGAGGCTTTTGAGCTGGTTTCCGTTCTTCAAGTATGTAGTATGTCGGTGTAGTGATTTGACAGTGCAGAACACTTTGGGGGTTACTTATTGAAAACTGGGTGTTGAGGAGGGGGGGGGGGTCAACACACATTTTATTCACATCAGCATAATGAAATTTTATTTTGTTTTTCATCCATTGGAAATATTTTTTTTTCACAAAATCATGCAACCCCTCCCACGTTTTGAAATTTTCCTAATGAATACTCATCTTGGTTAGAGTTCCTGAGGGCCTTCTTTTATAGACTGGATACAGCTTTTGTGGACTGAGGTCACATGGCGGAAATTTGCAAAGATACATTAGCCGCACAACTTAATACCACAAAAGCCAGATCCACTTCATAAAGGGTTTATTATAAATCTTATAAAAGGTTGCACCTGTTTGCATTTTGTGGGCAGTGACTGGTAAAGTTGGAAATGGTTGTTTGCATCCATAGATAATACATGTATAATAGTGTTGTTCACTGTTGTTGTTAACAAATGTAATTCATGTTGTGTCCCTGGTAATAAAATAACTTATGACCAACAGTAGATTGGAAGCTGATAATTTTTTTTTTTAGACATTCACATGCTGGTTGGTGAAAATGTAAACAAATGAAATCACATTGCGACAGCTTATAGATTATTTTAAAATAAATACATTTTTGTAAATGCAATTGTTTTGAGCTACTGATGTTTCATTTATTTCAGTTATTATTCTAATTTCTGCTGCTAACTTCTCTCGCAACATGTCGTTCCTTGAAATCGGTTTGATTTCTGTTCTAAATATCCTTCTCTATCTAACTGCTAGGCGTAGGTAATGTTATACATATTTTACAAAGGCGAATAACATGACTTCAAAATTGTGTACAGTCAAATTCAAAACAATTCACTGAGAATGTCGGCGGCAACAATGCAATGTACTAGTGTATAGTGGAACTCATTTCGGCATATATGCTGTAAATTTATAAAAAATTAATTATTTTGTCAGAATATGGCCAAACAGGGTTGGGTGTGATTTTGCGAATCATACGCGGCTCACTCTCAGGTTTGTCATATTGCTATAAGTTGGAAATGCAAGGGATTTCATAAAAGGGAAATTTTTGTTTATGTGACCTCACAAAGCAGCAAAATTAGATTTTTCGAATTATGTGCAATCTAGTTGCTATTTATGATCTGACCTCAAAAAGTGATCCATCTTTCAAACATCACCTTGAAATAACTTTGCTCCACACATTGCTTGCTGAGTGCTGTGATTAATCTGCATAGTAATTAGCATACTATTTGCATAATAATTAGCATAAATAATTTTATTTGAACTTGGAACAAATTAGAATCAAATGTTTAAAAAAAAGTCCATGAACTGTACTTGTTTATGTTTTCTGTTATGCTCCACTTCATTTATTTAATTATTTTAATAATAACCATCAGGATTGTATCACCAATTGGGAGCATCTCACTGGTATATAATCAATACATGTTATTTATTCTTTACTCGTACTGTGGTTTGTTGTAACAGCTAACTTTTTTAAAACTGTTTCATGAAATAGAGAAAATGCGGTGTGCTATAACATTTCACGTAAAAAGTAAAAGACTACTTAAATTTGAAAGTTTAATTCAATACCTGTTCAGTTTCAAAGCTGAAAAAAAAGACGATGTCACTATCAAATGCTTAATTGTGCAATAAACAGCTCCTTGGTTACCTCAGTGTTATTACAGTCTAGCTCCCAGCCAATTATAATGTTAAAATGAACTCATAGCATACTTTTAACTCAGTTTCACAAAATCATTTCATGTATATAGTCATGTAACTTGGTGTTTTTAAAACCATAGTTCTCATGGTTGAATAAGCTTCCACAAACAACTGTATATTACAGGAGTCTGACAATGAAATGTGTGCTATGCTATGTTAATTCAGACACTCTCCGATAAACTAACATCAAACTGACATGTCATTTCATTAAATTTCCAAAAATTTACCTTGCCTCAAACGTGTTATAAAATGCAAAATAAGTTGAATGTAAATAATCCTGTGATTAAAAAAAGTAATGATCTATTTACCAACTCGTACATTCACGGTCACAGGCAACATTATATTGAAATCACTGATGAACTGCTACTTGACGTGAACCCCCCCCCCCCCTCCTCCTGCTGAAATCAAGAAATCCACACTTGTGACCTGATTGATTCAGCTTAAGATGCTAAGAATACATACAGCTGACTTCATATACCAGATTTCATAAAGGCTAAAAAGTACCGCATCATTTGATTTTTATCTAGGGTTCATAAAGTCACATACTGAAATAAAAATTAAAATTGTATCAGTATTCATTAGATTGATGGAGAGCCTTGAATGACCTAGGCCCATATCAATTGTAGTGCTCAGTATAATCACTGTCATAATCATACAAGCATGCAATATGATCTATGGAATTATGTTCTCACATAGAAAGGTCATCTGTCAATTTAGGATAAAAGCAGTACCTAATAAATGTGAGATCACGTCTTTGGATAATTGCATGCACTTCCCTTAATGCAGATGAATTCCACCAAAGACTTCTTTGATGTAGTTTTAGCATTCATTCATAGGTGCGTGAGAAAAAAATATATATCTGTCAGACAGCATGTCAAAATATCGAACATATGACCATGTATTACCATGTCTTGTTGATAACTATAACTTTTTCTTTTAATAATAAATGTTGAATTTGACAATATTTTTGAATTCATTAGGCCAACTGATTACTAGATTTGTTTCCAAAGCCTTATGCATTCCACCAATATATATGTTTTGATCATTATTACCCTAGTATTGCCATGTATGAAAGCAAAGCACAACTATATAGTAGTTATTATTACAAATTGTAGGCTCTTTTTACAAAATTTATTTAACAAAATGGACTAGTCATTGTATCGTTCCTTTTCCCATTTCCTTATTTGAAGTTTATTAATGGCCTACGATGTTGGATCAGACCTTCACTATTGTTACGATTAAAAGGACATTCATCTGCCCCTTGTCCAGGTACATTGTACCTGGTATGGTTTAATTACTGAAAAATGTTTTATCAGGATTTATACAACTCTGATTTCCACTTGAGTTTGTATTGACAATGCATTTCAGTATTTGAGGTATCACTGTTGGTAAGAACAAGTTTGCTGTTTGTAATCCTGCTCTGTATATAAAAACACATTACTATGTATGAATAGTATGAATATGATACATATTATTTATCACATCATGTCGTGCTGTTAATCATTTTAAATGTTTATATATAATAATTTTTGCACAAGGTCCAAACTTCTATAATAGTCAGTAAAAAAACTTGACTGGAATTAAAGAACGTTTTGTCCTCACAAATGCCATTTAATTAATAAATTGTAGAAATTGTCAGCAGCAGTTTTACTCTCATATTTCTTGCAGACATTTGGTAGACATTTTTAATACTTTAATGCATCAATTATTCACTGTTTTTTTTCGCTGATAAGTAAAATAATTGTCTAAATTAAATCAACATGAATATACATGTACATGAACAATAGAACTCATTGTTTCCATGGTGAATTTGTAAACTTAAAAAATGATCAAAATGGTTTTACAGTGTAATGTACATAAATAATAACTTCATTCTTGAGTCACAGTAAGGATATATTCAGTGTTTTCCTTAAAGCATTTTTACGATGATTGAGTGTTGAAAATTCTTTTTTTCAGAGGGACAGTATGATATGCAACAAGTATATTATTTATTTTCACAAGAATTTTGTTATAAAAACTTTACAATTATGCAAAGTAGAGACATGATTATTTAATACTTTCAGGACACCAAAGGCATTTCCTTCATCTTTATAAATATAAATTTCAATGGCAGTAAAATCCAACCAGCTAATCAACGAGCACAGTGTGCAATGATGTCTTTTGAAAACATTTCAACATTATTCAATTCGTCAATAGAAACCTCTCGTCTCAGTTTGATTTGTGAAATTTATAAATACAATTTTTTATTATTAATATTTATAAACATGAAGGGAATGCCTCTAAGTAAGGAACTTTTTTATCAGTTTTGTATTTGACATTTTACTGACATTAGTGTTTTCTACTTGCATATGCAAGAGAAATAAATTGACATAACACATACAACACAGTTGACCAATTTTATAAATACTACCCTTAGGAATTTCGCTTTTTAACCAATAATAAATGACCTTGACAGATATATAGATATATAACTATTTATATATAATGTCTATTAATATTTTTTGGGTTACAGAGAAGGAGGTATTGCATCTGCATTGGAGCCATTACCTCAAGCTACATCTGAAGCCATTGAATACCTGCAGTCAATTAGTAAGTTCTATATAGTAAAAAACCCAGAGGGATCACTGTTAGTCTAGCATGCTTGTATCTAGTATATTGCTTGTTATTTCCTTAACAACTCCATGTTCATTAGTTTGTGTGGTTCTTTATATCGTTGATTGACAGCATTGTCATTCCCAGATACATGTATGAAACCCCATGTGTTTGTGTTTAAGTATATTAATTGGTTCTGTGGATGCATTTTGTGTGTTAAAACTTGTATGGTTTCTTTTGTTTTCTTTTTGGAATCCCTCAACATGCAGTATAAAGCAATTTATTTTAGATAACAGTTGCAACAACATAAATACATAAGATATACGAGTCAGAGGTTAATAGCCAGGCATTGCAGCGCATTTGTGTAGATTCATTTGTGATTGAATTTTCATGGACTAACGACTCAGGACATCAGTGCTGCAGATTGTGTGTAGGATTTGTTTTGGGTCAATGATTAACAGATATTGATGTTACTAACAAATCAAGCATTTCATATTGTTGAAATTGCTTCGCAAATCACACCAATTTCGATCTTGTCCTGCTCAATATCATTTCTGGATTATTGATACATCATTGATTTGTGTTACAGACATCAAGCAATACATATTTCCTGTTTCAGTTTTGTTTGGCGAATGCTTGCTGGGATTTATAATTGTTCAGTTTTAGCTGCTAAGCGGTCTGACTGCTGAATTTGATTGATGGCCAAAGTTACTTCATAAAAGTAATCTATTTTCAAAGACAGTAAAACCTCAATATGGTACAATAGAGGAATGCTGCAAATTATAATTTTGTTGCCTGTTGTATTTTCACTGGTAATCAGGTCCAAATTCAAAATTGAAATGAATACACATCGCTGATTTTTCTGAATTTGTCTGATGATGAGACTTGTTAGGTTCTATTGATGTTAGTTGATTCTCTTTAGTCTGTAGCTTCTTCACTTACTGAGAGAATATGCATTCATTTTGTGCTGGCGAAAATAATAGAAATAATGAATGTAGTTTGTAAAAGCATACCACAATAATAGAGGAGACAGATTTATTGCTTAAAAAACTCAGTAGGCCTGAATGGCATTTTCAAAAAACTATGACAGATGTGAAGGAGTATCTAATAATGTAGCATTAATTTCAGAAGGAAAGAAAGTGTGAATGTGGAATTTGGCATGTATTGGAGTGAAATTTTTTTTTTTTTTTTTTTCTCTGTACTTACACTGTATAGGAGACATGATTGCATTCAACACCATGCATGTTTATAGATTTTCATCCTAAGTATGCAGGTATACGCTTTAAATCCAATGTGCATGGTGTGCACGTACAAATTAATTACCTGAAATCAATTACATGCATATGTTTGGTTGTGGAAAACAAGATTAAAAAAAAAAACCATGAGGGAAACTGTAAAGATTACGCCATACTGTCAAAAACCCAGAAGGCAGTATGTATAAGCCGAATAACAATAAGTCACGTAGAGAATGTAAGAATTCATCAGATTTTAATTCATGCTACAAGCTTTGATTACCTTCCATTCCTGTGTTTGCAGCGATATATAAATATACTTGTATATATCTCCAAATGCATTATAAAACTTTCAAAGTTCTTAATGATCTATGTTTGCAGAAAACATGATTATTGGTACCTGAAATATTAAAACTTAAAACGTTTCATATGTGCTGTGAAGAAAATGTTTTTTTTTTTTGTTTTTTTTAATTAATGTTCACATTTTCTTAATTGACTATTTAATCACATATGGTACAACTTGGTCAGATTTATTTAAATTTATATAATTTTGAATGAATTAAAATATCTTATTTCATGCCTTCATTTCGGAAACACAGCAGTTCTGAGTGCTTTGGGTTGTTCTGATTAAGAAAGAATTCTGATGAATATTATTATTTATGAAATAATGCTTCAACATAGATTTCAAAAATGTCCACTTTTGTATGTTTTCTGACATTTTTTTATAACTTTCCTATGTGACTCCCCTGTATTCATTAGATTAACTGCCCATGAAATGACCTTTATCATAGTTTTAGAAAATTTGTGATTACTTTCTTAAAAGAATTGCATTTTTATGCAAGGCTGTACAAAGTTTGCAGGAAAAGTTTGAGTGTGTGTATTATTTGAACTTAATTGCAGATTTAATGTGCCAAATTATAATAGAATAAAACTAAAATGTCCATTTCTAATATGAAAATAATCTTTTTTTTCTTTAATTGAATAATAGATATTTCAGAAAAATATATTTTAAAACATGTTTTTTATGAAATTATTCAGCGCATACCGGTATTCTGGATGTATAGGTAATATCTTGATGACTGTTTTTTTCATTTATGATGTCACCTCATCACATACAATATGCCATTACTTGTAAAATCAATTTTTGATACTGCTGTTTAGTATTCATAAACCATCAGCACATTTATACCTTTAGGCATTCTTGCATTGCTGTGATGTAAACTTTGTAGGCTATTAGTTGTCTTTAAATACCAATAAGGTAGGTCCTGCTATTTGAGTTTAAGGTCTGATTGATATTTTTCTTCAATTTTAATTTTCATTCAAAAAGTGGACCATATTTTTTCTATTAGATCCATAAAAAGAGTTTTCGGTCAATTTGTTTTCCAAAATTGCTGCATGTACATGGCTTTTCAACTTTATTCCTAATAATCATAAAGAAATAAATAAAGAAACAGTGATCACACATTTTCAACTGCCACATACAGTGACCAGAATCCTGTATATTTTTCTTCTGAGCCTAAGCAGTGCGCATAAACTAAAAATTGCATTGATTCTGCACTGGGTCATTAAAATATGATTTATTTTGACAATAACTCAGGTAATTTATGCGAGTGCATGCACTACTAATGTAGCAAATACGGCTTATATTCTGAAAGCTCTATGTAATGAGGTGATTAAAAACTTTCATACTTTTGATGCGATAACTATGGTACATTGCAGCATAAAGATCTGTTTTCAATTCCATTTAATTGTGGAATATATTGCTTAGGTTACTCTATGAATTTATTTGAAGTATTCCATGCATTTTATCTGGATGGATATCAGTGGTGCATGTCCTTGCATCTTAGAGGAGTGTTTATAGTTAAAATAAGTCGAATTTTAATGATTTAATATAAAATAAACACAAATAAGAGATACACGTTTAATAGAGAAAATACAATATCATATCGAATATTAAAAGAAAGTTTTTCAGGTTGCTATTTCAGCTGCCATACAAACTTTGGAGGTTGTTTTGCAGTATTGTGATTCAAATAAAAATAAAAAAACGTATGATCATCGATTATGATAAAACAATGTGACCAGAAACATTTTCAATGTTTTCTTGGCTATATTCGTGTATGGTACACTAAATTTAAAAGATAGTCTCATCAGACCCCCCTCTCAATTTAAAGATTATAAATAATTAATTCGACTTCTTCTATCTTTTTAAGTATTAAAGTACGGTAGATGATCTATAATAGTTGCAGCCAGCAGCAATAACCAGTTGCCTAGTTTCTCAATAATAAATATCAAATATTTTAAAATAAAGTATCCCAACTTGTAATTTGAGATAGTCTGTCAGCTTGTATGTATCCCTTAATTACATTTCTATCTTTCAACTATAATGTGGGAGAAAAAGAATAGAATTCTGTATACTATAACTTCTTTATCATAGTAACTTGATGTAATCAGTTTATACTTTATTTGGAACCTTTTTTTCCCAATTAACACGTCTGAATAGCGTTTATGCTATGAATAGCCAAATAAATGCCTGCAGTTGTAGTCTCCTACTGTTGCATATAAAAAAGTATAGCTTTAATTACCATATGCATGTTGCATTTTAATAGTCTCATCCATGGCAGTTACACCTACATACATGATGTACTCGGAAACATACAGGTACATACATACATACAAGTAGTTTTCACAGTAGATCAAATAATAATAAAATACATTTAATAGGAATTATTGTCAGGTGTTTTGATGGATATATCAGCTGTGACATGTGGATTTTTGTTTTGTTTTTCTCAGAGAAAGATACATTGTCTGGGGGTGTTATTGTACGGTGCAAATGTGTATTAATACCCCAGTATATATACCGGTACTTATAATAACAGTATCATATGTGTTTTATGTTGTTTTTTCAACTATGTCTCATCTGAATAGGCATCATCCTACAGTAGTATAGTTTATATTTGAATTATCTGGTGAATATTCTTGGTTCCCTGTACTAAATGGCACTAAATATTGAAATTTTGTCTTGCATTTTTTTATTTGTTTTGGAAGAGGAAGAAGCAACACTAAAAGTGGCATCATTGAGATGACATTTTGTTTACACTCAATTTCTATGTTTATACGACAGCATTCTATCAGGCCAAACTACTGCTTCTCCCGCTAAGTAACTCAAGATGCGGTGTATTCTGCTGTACTCACATCGCTCATGAAAGTATGGCCACAGGATACACTGCATCACTCGTGAAAATAACATCCATACGCAACGAAAGCCACAGGGAGGGTGTGGAGTTCTGTTGTACTATTGCTCAGAACAGTACTGATATGCTTTTCACAATATCCATGCGTTTTTTTTTTCATGTATTGTCTGCAGATAACCTCTAATTAGTTTTAGATTTACTGGCAGCCTTATTATTTAGTGGTCTAAATGTTACTTGTCAAAAATCTTATTATTTGTATATTTCTGTTGAATGCTGATAATCCCAAAATGTGAATGAAATCAAATACATTAATGTTAAACAGTCATTTAAGCACTTCAATATTACTTTTTATCGGGGTAATATTAAGTATTCTCTTATAATGTAATTAATTGCATGGTACATTAACAAAACAATCTGCTTTATGATATGTTCCTTTTTTAATCAGGACATTTTTTTCCTTTTTTATTTTTTTGTTGCCACCAGAAGAAACGGACATCAATAGAATCTTATTCACCGACTCACTGGTGACGACATCAGATACAGGCAAAGAACTAGGAGAGTTCACAGTGACTGTGGAGCCGGCAAGAAAAAGTGGCACAGAGTGTTTTTTAATTCACGCTAACAGCCATGGGGCAATTGATAATGTACCTTGCGGGACATCTATCACAGGTAGGAGTCGTGTTTTAAAGTATCATTTATTTTTTTTTGTACCTTAGCTTTATAGGTCTACATATTGTATATGACGTAAATGTCATACGTGCAGCTAAGTATTGAAATGTGCCCCTCCCTACTTATGTAGAATTTTTTTGTTTGCTAATTTCGGCATCAGTTATAGCCTTCACATAAGACACCCCATATTAAGTAAGAGATGAGCCACGGCTTTGTCATCAATCACATTGCATCAACGTACTTTCGAAATAGGGTTACTGAACAAGAATATTGACAATTATCACACAAAGTCTATTACCGATACATGCAAGGCAGGTGATTACAGTCGATGATTTAATGCCAAGTGATAAGATTATTTATGATGTTTTATGAAAAACCATTAAAAGCCTTGTAAATCATCCTGAGCCAGTTCAATTTCAGAAAAGGTCGACATAAAATATTACCTCTTTACTTTATGCTATCTTCTTTTTTTTCACAATCTAATTATCTAATTCCAAATTAAATCACTTTGCTACCAAGTGTATTATTTGTACTTACCTTTTTCCAGATAAAAGCATTACAAAAGCTGTACGCTAAGAGCATGCGTTGTGCTTTATTGGTTTCTGGGGACTATTACATGGAAAATCACGCTGGTGATTCTTTTGTCTTTCCATTTGATTGTGTGTTCAAATTTCTTTGCTAATAGTGTTCTAATGTGACTGGATCCACTAAGATTCGCTTCTGTTCCTAATTTGTGCAGTAATTCAAAAAAACATAAGAATCCTGATACTTTGTTTCTGCAATGTACGCAAATTCACACCATAAAATATTTCATATAATAGTCTCAAGACCTCATTAAAGATTCATGAATGCTCCCAGAATGCAACTTTAACAATTGTATTATTATAAATCCCTTCTCTGGGAACATGTACAGTAATACTGATATCTATTGGTTGAAAATGTTATGAATGCCAGCATCAATATTTATCATCTGTTACAAAATGAACGTTGATCATTTCTGATGGATACAGTATTAGGTAGTTTTAGGATTTTGCTTTTCAGACAACTGCTCAAAAACAGTTATTTTCAGTGACAATGTAGGTTTTAAATTTCATAATTTAGTATTTCACACTAGAATACATAATAATATCAGATTTTTCTGTTTATTCTTGTTTTTGATTCCTGGAATCTGTATTTAATGAAATTGGGGGATGGGGCTAAATTCGAGTTACATGAGCCTGGTCATATTAGGACAGCTACATTTTGTATGGTAATACCATCAAGACTTGTATAAAGCAATTCCCCTGTTGTCAATATGTCTTTGAATATATCTATTATAATACAAATGATGTATTCCTGCCATATGTTCTTTGGAACTATCAATAATATAGATAATGAGAACTTTTATTGTACGAGTTCTTCGTGTATCAGTCTTTTATTACTTATGCTCTACTAAAATAGGATAGAATTAGAGTTAGAAAATATTATGTTGAAATCATGGATTTTTTTTGTACTTCAATGCAGTATGCCCTACAAAACGTGATGTGATGTACAAGGCAGCCTAATGATATTGTATTTTGTCAGTTCTATACATTTCTAGCTACATGTACAATTATCAGTCTTAAATTGGGCTTTGGCATTAAGTAATTGCCATAGTTCTTTGTAGTATAAGGTACAATTGCTACTGTCATCAGAGTTTTTTTGCGCTGAATACTATTACTGTAGCTCTTGAAAATCATTCACAGTTTTATTTTTCTCTTACCCGGTAATTCCTAGATGGCTTTACTTCATGAAATGGGCAATCAGCACGAAAATTATGAGAACACACGTACAAAATATGTTTTCACTAGTTGTCATCTTTAAATTATAGTGTCTCATTCAATGCTGAGGACACGTGCATGTTATCGAACAACATCTTTGTATATACCCCACTCCAAGCATGATGTGGATACCCACAATGCAACATTCTTGATGTTACAATATGATTAAAGGCAACATTATATGCAATTTGTGAATAGGTTATGAGAGTGCAACCACTGCATAATCGTACATGAAGGACATATGGTATTCTTCGATGTTTGTTTTTATTGGCTGACACTATAGCATAATGCGTGATAATACTGTTAAATTTATACCATTAGTGATCAAACTGGTAACCACTCGTATATATTATTTGGTAATCGTTGTCCTATTCAAAATACTAGTAGCTAACATTTATCAGACTGCATTGATAAGAACAAATGTCAGTCGTGTTTATAACCTAGTTAAGTTCACAAGTGAATTAAACTTGTAATCAGCCATTTCCTTTATGGGAAGACATTCTAGTCTGAGATTTAACAGCTCTGTAATCTTTGCTGGTGTACTTGAGCTGTGTAATTAAAATCATAAACTGCATGTTATTTTCATTGTTTCTTATAATGTTGATAGCTTGCACTCAGTGTCATTCAAGTATATGTGGATCAATATATCTTGCCAAGCTCAAATGATGCTACAGATTTTCTATGTTGTGAATAACAATTAGGAAGGTGAATATTTAACGAAATGTCGGTATATTTGTTCAGGTTTAGCACAATATAGATGATTGTATATTTACTTTAATGTTTTCAAAAAAAAAAGCATTAATCTTCACTGGTTATATCACCTTCCCTCGTGAAGGATGGTGGTTATATGTACACATTGTTTCACCCCATCCCTCACTGTGGTAATATGATGACTATCTGATATTCATAATCCCATACTGTTTTAAGTCCCCGTTCAGACGAAGTCCGAAAACGGGGACTTATAATTTGGTCTCCGTCTGTGCGTCTGTGCGTCCGTCCGGAGTCATATCTCAGAATCCCTTGGACCGATTCCCTTCATTCTTTGCATGTGCCTAGTACTTTATGTAGGACATGCACATGCAGTGGTTTAGCGATTCGATTCAAAATGGCCGACTTGTTTTTTGAAAATGTTTTATTTTGGACATGCTTTGTCTGTTTTCATTCAAACTTGGTACATAGATTATACATGTTAGAATACATGTCCATGATGATTTGTTTCACAATTGGATCAAAGATGGCCGACTGGCAGCCATCTTGTTTTTTGAAAATGTTGTATTTTGGACATGCTTTGTCAGTTTTCACCCAAATTTAGTACATAGATCATACATGTTAGGATATATGTCCCCGACCGTCCGTGAGTTCCTGAGTCTATTCGTCCGTGTGTCCGTCCATCTGTGCGTCAGTCTGTCCAGAGTCATATTTCCGAATCATGTGGACCGATTCTGTTCATTCTTTGCATGTGCCTAGTACCGTATGTAGGACATATGCACATGCAGTGGTTTAGCGATTCGATTTAAAATGGCCGACTGGCAGCCATCTTGTTTTTTGAAAATGTTGTATTTTGGACATGCTTTGTCAGTTGTCATTCAAACTTGGTACATAGATTATACATGTTAGGATACATGTCCATGACGATTTATTTCGCAATTGGATCAAAGATGGTTGGCTGGCAGGCATCTTGTTGTTTTTTTTTATGTGGTATCTTGGACGTGCTCTGTCAGTTTTCATTCAAATTTGGCACATACATGTACTTTATACATGTTAGGATGCATGTCCATGACAATTTGTTTCAAAATCTGGTCAAGGATGGCCGATTGACAGCCATCTGACTTTTTGGCCTTACTACTATATTTCCACAATTTATGTACCATTTTCATTTGTATTTGGCAAATACATCATACATATCAGTGTGTTTCATAATCAGATCAAAGATGGCCGAATAACAGCTGTTTTTATTTTTGGCCATATTACTACTACACGGAACACGTGTTTTGATGTAAATAAACAATCTGTTGTATACGTCACTTGGAACTCAAGTTTCAAGGACACGCTCGCGCCAACCCCTCTGCTTTAATAGGACGAGCACAAAGAGAACTTAATTTAACAGGGACTGTGTCATTTTCAATGACTTGTTACTTATAAGCATACAATTGCGATAATGGATACATCTATACGCAAATTTTAAGTGACCAAAAAAACATGCACATTTAAAATGTATGTAAACAAGTGCTACAGTTACATATCATTGTTCAACCACATAGTATACACCACACTTCAAGTCACCTGATACATTGTCCACACAATGTGTTTTCCAGTTTTCACTGCACATCACTAGGTAGAGTTCATGTGTGTTAGTTTACTTAGTTCTCATAAGATATTAACCACCTGGTTCAGCTATAGAATTGCTATTCGTATAAACAAGAAATTCCAATTTTAGAGCCAAAACATTATTTTATTTCAAAGTAAAACGAAGAAAAGGTTCCAGTGTGGGTTCATCGCATCACACTTGCGTATTAGTACATGTATATCAATCTTTTTTTTCGTTATTTTATATTTTCGTATTTATTTCGTTATTTTGACTTTCACAACAACAGTGAGTATGAGTGAACACACAGCAATAAATATTATGATGATACTAACATTAATCAAAATTCTCACTAAAAGTATTGTTACAGTAATTATTTCATCTTTAGGAATTTCAACAATGGCGATTTCTCATGTCTATACTGGTATACCACTATACCAAATCCCAATCTGACCAATTCATATTGTAATATTTTATTATGAAAGTTCTCTTCACTTAAAATATGCAACATGCTGCTGCAGACTGCATTTATAGTTCACCAATTTAATTTATCCTACAATCCCGATAAGTATTTTTTTGATTACTGTATCCTTTTGGGTGCACTGAACCAAACAGTGTTAGCATGAGAGTATATAACCGCCTGCACACATCTAAGGTCGCCTGCAGTTTTATTGCGTACATGTTTCTGCATGTACATATTTTTTTTTAATTTTCTATTTTACTCCCTGCGAGGAGAAACAGGGAATCTGAAACTATAATTTGTATTATTAATATTTTTTGAATGCCACTCAGTACTGTGATGATATGCAATAGTGAATTAATATCTTATAATATGGAATTTTGTATAACTGCAAAGTTTGAAAAAAAGGGCACATCAAATGTAAAAGCAAGTATGTTACAAATGTCCTCCAGTATGATATATTGTTATTCCATTTCATTTGTACATATACCCAAAAACTTTATTTCATCTAAATATATTCTCAAAGATGGACTGGAATAGTAAGTCATTAGAAGAAAAAAGATTTTTTCGTTAGCATGGGGGAAAGTTAGTTAGCGAAGGGGAAAAACAGAGGTGTTAATCCATAAATTCATTGTCTATTCTTATTTGTGATTGATCCTGACAACCTTTGGGGGATTGTGACGTAGCTCTGTTTTTGAGAATACTTGTACATAAACCCAAGAACTCCTTAAGTGTATGTATACATATACGCATCAGTTAATTTGATGATCATACTAAAATATTTTTGTGACAATCTTGCATCGTTTTCCAGCTTATGGTAATAATGTAGACACAGCTTTTGTTGGAATGCTATATTTTATTGTGTTTGGTTCTCGCATGCATAAAAATTATGATTAATGCGTGTTGAAAAAAGAAATTAGTTTCTGGTACATATATAAATCTTGATTTCTTGCGGCTGTGATATATAATTTCATTGTTATAGAACTTTTATTAACAACAGGCTTTCAAAGTTGTCAACACAAAATTATAGAAGTTTTAGCTCATTTGTTAAACTTTAATCCAATTTGTTTAAAAATATAATAGAGAACTACTAGTTATCCACAATCCACAAAAATTGGCTTTCTTAGATGATTAAAATAAATAGCCACAATTTTTGTGTAATTATTTTCAATCAACAGCAGCATGCAGTGTAGCCTATAGAAACCGGCTGTGTAAGAGGAAATTAGATTTATCAGTACCCTCGTCTTGCTGGTTATACAACCTGTCGGTGTTCTAATATCTGGTACACCATGCAGGTTTTATTCCCAGTAACATTACCATTTGCTGCCGCTTGTATCCATGAAACTTGTGTAAAATTTTCGCTACTTGATCGCTGCACAATTCATTCTCCTGCTACATGTACCGGTAATTTCTACAAACAAATGTAACGTTTTCCTTGAATAGGTAACAACTTGTGATTGTGTTAAACGCTTTCATTAATTATTAACAAAATGTTACACTTAAGCTTCTCCTTAATATTAGAATTATACTAAGCATTAAGGTTTGACTAGTATACTGGATACTATGCACTATGTACTTTGTCATTATCTAAAAATATATGTGCTGATGATAAGTAGTTGATTGCCAACTCTTTTGTGCATAATAATTATCTAATTTGCATAATAGCAACTTTAGGTATATTCCCGCATTCTCAAGCAGGGAATTGCTTAGTTTTCAGTATCCAGTACCAGTACTCAGAACATTTAGCTGTGATAATTAACAAATGCTGGCATTCAGATGTTCAAACATGTGAACTAGCTATAGCAATGCCTGACCTAGGTTAGAAGTCACTGTTTATCTTAACCGTTCCATCACTGGTGATAATGTTTACACTGAGTATACATACCTTCATAATTCATGATGTATTGCAGCTGTGAAGTGTATACATGCCAAATGTAATACAATTCTAATGACTAGCTGCTAAATCAAGGGTTATTTTTAATACATTCATTGGAAGTTGAAAACTATTTCAAACTTCCATCTACTGCACTAATCAAGCACATATGTGTATCATGCATGGGGAAATTAAATTCTCATTAAATATTTACAACATAATTGAACTATAAATTAAAAGCAGATTTGTTTGAAAATCAGTATTAGTATTCCTAATAGTATTTCAGTTAATTTTCCTGACGAATTCATTTTTATTTTCTCAAAAAAAAAAAAAAATGTCAAACACCCAACCACTAATCTTATATATAGAATATGGAACCATATTATTATAAAATTAATTTTCAGTTGTGTTTTGTGTTGGAACCTCCTTAAAGCAGGATTATACCTCGTCTCATATTGCGGATTATAAAAATGGGATTATTTCTGCATGAAGACTTTATCATACATCTCACTTCAACTCCACTATATGTGGTGACAATGTTAACTATTAAATGTATTGCCCTATGTAGGACTTGCTCCTGAGTAGCCAGCAAATTACTCTCTATCTCTCTCTTGCAATTTCGCTTGCTTGGTATTTAAAAAATACTCTCATATCAGTTGTCTTAAACTTTCTCTAGTAATCCTATTTCTGTGAGGATTAGTGGCATGTGCATTTGGTATTTACATGATTTTATTCTACAGCTACCTGTCTGTTCTATTTATGCACATAACTTGTACAGAACTGCTGTAATGTCGATAGTATCTTTGATTGTCTAGTTGTGAATTATGTATCTGATGTGCATGTAGCATGTCTTCAAAAGCTGATTACACATAGGCTATACTAGGAAAACTGTGATATGGATGGTTTGGCATGCTTATGTAATACAAATATCGTCATATGGAACATCATTAATTTTTTTTTCCAATTTTTCTGCTGCTAAAAATCCTTAGTTTTAGTTAAAATGCTAAATTAAACAAACAAAAATTGTAATGAAAGTGTTCTAATGAGAAAACTACATTGCCAATAAATGAAGGTTTAATCTTTTCACCACCAGTTCCCTATTTTCATCACAAATTCACAAAGTAGTCTTGTTTATAGTCCGTACTTTCCTTCAGAAGATTGAGACAAAAATAGCCAAATTTGGGCAAGAAAGTCTGTTGTCACCCATATATTCTTGATTGCAGTGATTGATTATTACCTGAAGCACAACTTTATGTATTCACAATTAGATTGTTGTTCTCAACAGAAAAATATTGATCATGTTAACATTATATATGTTAACTGTGCGTCAATTATACAATGAACATATACTAATAACATTTTATTTATTAATAAATTGTGCAGTATTTGATTTTGTGCAAACTGAAAAGAGAAAATGTAGATTTTTCTATCGAAAAAATATCACTAGGGAGTTGGGAGTGGTGATATATGTTAGAAGAGCCTGATAATCCATCACAAGTATGTATCTTAAATACATCATGCAGCAAGGATCTAGCATGCAAATATCAGTAAACAATCAAAAGCTATCATGAGACCTGCCTGGGAATCGTTCATCACCATATCATGCAGCAGGGATCTAGCATGCAAATATCAGTAAACCATCTCATCCATCATGAGACCTGTGTGGGAATCCTCAAAAAGATAGTTAGTTATATGGATCTTGCTGATACTGTGTTCCCCTGTGTTTCACTGCCTCAAGAATGTTAAAGTTATTAAAGTGCTCCCAAGAAGTGCCTTGGTTTCCCCATTTTAAATTAATTGCACATTTTTCCCTTTTTTTGCAGCATATGTTTCCAAGTCTCTAGAAACTCTGGAACAACAACACCACGAGTATGTCAAAGTGAGTATGAGCAACTGTGCTTCAATAAGTGTTTTGAAGGTCAAATCCATCATTGGAGATTTTTTCAATTTCACTCACATTTTAGGGAATTGATTTTTTGATTTGTTTCTACTCTGCAAACTAATATATATTTTTCAATCAGCCAAAGCCAACCTGTTATTGATCTGTAATAACTTGTATGTGTGTTGCTTTCAAACATGTTGAATCAGGGAAAAGGTGAACAAATATAAGGACAGCCCCCCCCCCCCCCCCCACACACACACACACTATGTGTATACAATGTACCTGGCACACAAAATAATAGATCAATTAATTTCATTCTGACTTCAGTGCAATAATTCAGTATTCTCCATTCCTGCTGCAGTTGAGAAACAAATTATACAAATATTTTTATAGCATAGGAGACGAGTTTCAAGGCATGATATTTAGTTAGCATTTTTTCGAGCTGTATCAAATATCTTTGAACGTGTCTATGACAGCTCTTGTAACCGTCATATTGTGGTTGGTTTGTGAGGTGTATGTTTTCAAACAGCAGGGCTCAAACATAGCCTAAGGATTTATCGTCTTCCTTCACCTGATTTGTTTTTCAACTGAATAATAGCTTTTCTCTGGTCAAAGTTATAATATATTATTAAAGTTTAATATAGGAAAGCTAGAAATAGTTTTGTAAATATTTGGTTTCTATATATTGTGTATTCAATGTATCTGTACTATGCATGTGGTTAGCATTTATAATTAAATTATAATTATTATCAGTAGCATGTAATATTTATTCATAATCTCACAGTCAGTAGACACAAGCGATTATCATCAGAGCTCTGTATCAATCCAAGCCGTAGGCTGGATGTCAAACTGAGAAAAGATATTGTGCAGTGCTGAATGTCAAAGTATATAGCTGATATAACACTAAATACATAATATATCATTGTAGTGTTTTCTTAGCACACGAATGTACTGCATTCTATATGCGGCAATTCTGCTCAATCATGATATTGCTTAAATTTGAAATGAAATTTCATAATTTAAATAGTTTCTTTTGAATGATTGATCAATAATTCTGAAAACAAATGCATGAGCTTTCCAATAAACAATGTTCTTCTTATTCTATAGTTATTAGGTAGTTACCAGGTAGCATGTACAATGAAAACTATGCTTTTTTAATCTGTTCTGTATTACAGTACATCACACTATGGAAATATGTACACATAATTCATTCATGAATTAAAATTAAAATAAACAAACATTAAAAATCTAGATATATTCACAGCAGGAATAATATTATAAGTGGATTTTATTTAATTATGATGATAACTATTTTCTGTAGTAAATAAATATTGTTTTTTATGAATCGAGAGGGAATATATAGAAGTGACAGTTAGTGTTGAGAAAATCATGTACATGTATTATTGACTTGCATGTACAAAGAATAATAATAGTGAACATTATGTATATAGACATGCGTATCATAAATTCTGTTTTTAAGTTATTTAAAGATTTTTTTATCATATCCATTTAACTCATTTGCAATCGTTAATGGTGTTTATTGTGCCAGTAGATTAAATTAACTTTATTTTTTCCACCTGAATTGATTCTTTTAAAAAAAAACGTCGAAGCAGTTCCTTTCCTTCAACATTTGAAGTAAAAGAGAGAGAAAAAAACATTCGTTGCAATTGATTTATGTCTTCCTTCTTGTCACCTTTATCCACCTGTAGTTCATAACCTCTCATTTTGTTCATCCTTTCAGCTAAAGGACCATCCATTAGACAGAAAGACATTCATTGTACAGCAGGATGAACAGTGCATCATCAATAAAGTCATCACACAGGGTGAAGTGAGTAGAATGCTGTGCCTTTTATTGAGTTTATTGATTCTATAACCTATAGTTCTACTATGTATCAGCCGGCTTATATTACATTCCAGTATGATTGCTTCACCTGTCTGTCTTCGGTGATGTTCTTTGATGTGTGATGGACTACATGCATGTCACTGAGAACACGCACCAGGATTGCATGCGAATACTTTCATAAAAAAACTCCAAGCCTCCCCGTTGAGTGTTGAGTGAGTGTTGAGTGAGTGTCTGCGTGATTTCATTCTATTTGGTATATGTTGCAGCAGCCAATTTTGTTTTCTGGGTCTATTAGGTGATGTTCACTACATAGCATGTTGTATTATAATTTCAGAAATATAAGATTTATCATTAGTACGTGGGATGCAAATCAACTACCCCTGATATTCATAATTTTCATGACCATTGACAAATACTGTAACAACAAAGTACAAATCGGTCAAATTGATGCTTAAGTAACTTCAATATCTCACTGTGTTGTAAAATCATAGCATGTATCAGGGATGGGTGAGTTTTTTTCTATGGTATTGACAGTACAAGTAAAATTCCATTAGAAAACAAATGAAACCTAATTTGCTGTTCACAGAAACTGCCTTTGGAGTAACGGTATATTAATGTACACATACAACTTACACTAAACTGTACTGTTCATGTACTGATAATAAATGGTTTGCAAAATATTAGCTTCAGTGTCTTAGTATAATATTCACAGAGCCTGTGAACAAATTATATTTTCACTTCAAGCAATTCTCTGATATTATTTATCAAATCAGCTGAATATGGAAACAAGCATTAATATATTTGACATGACAAAATATCTACATCACAACTGGGCTATCAGAGACTGCCAATATGTCAATATGTATTCAAAATAATAATTCAATATATATATATACATATATATAATTATATATATTTATATGTGTGTGTAGAAATAGTTTAATTGTTATCGGTGTCCCATAACTACTGTGTCAATTCTGGTAATTGTAGTACCTCATACTGTACCTGTACATCTGTAAGGTCATACCTGAGCCAATACATGACCTAAATGATTGACACCTTACAGGAAACCATTAGAATATATCCTGGTTAATTGTCACAAAATCCTACAAGTCAGATGATATTTTGTGGGACCTTTAAGGGGGAAAATTTATCATTCTGTTGAATTGTAATCTGATTTTAAAAATCGATACATAAATTCTCAGTGTTGTATTATTGTGATTAGTGTACTCACAGCAGGTTTCCTGCTGTCTTGAATTACTGACATATTACCGTTTCCTCTAAGTATGCTTTTTTTCTTTACGAATCAGGTTACCCTATCATAAACTGACAGAAAAATCAAATAATTTGTTTCTTTTACTTTGCATGATTTCTATATGTTGTCTCTGCTAGACAATTAGACAAGTCATTACCATAAATTTTTCCCATTAAGCAAATTGCATTTTAGAACTTGAATACTGTCATTTAGAAATGACAGTCTATTAACTCCAAATTTAATTTTTAAGATGTGCACAGACATCAATCTGGTGAATCGCCTATACATTGTAAGGTACTGTTTTGCAGCATATTGAGTTAACAGTAATATGCATCATTTAATAAAAGAGACACACGAGTCTTATCAAGACCCATTTCCTCCTCTCATTATTATCGCAAATAAGATGTTTGTAATACCAGTTAGTACAAACTACTGTGCTTATACTTTTAATAAAATAAATCTTGTTTCCGATAAACTATATCGCTGGGGAGAAATCGAATAGTTTATTTTATGCAAATGAGTTTAAACTAATCTGTTTTGGTGCATATTTATTATCTTTCAACATTGTAATTATAATTACATTTACTTTCCCTGTGTAGTGAATGACAAGCACCTAATTTCATGTATAAAAGAAATCTATCGAGAAAATTAACTTTGTTGTTTTTTTGTTTAAACAATGATTATTTGTAGCAATAAACCAAAGAGTGTATCTCAATGGGAAAAGTAAAATAAAATAAAATAAAAATGTAAACTTACCTATCCAGTATTTTTTAAGCCTGTTACCGGAAATAGCAAATCTGTTTTATTAGACCTTTAACTTTAACTCTTTAAAGTTAATCATTAAAGCTAAACCACAGTGACCAAACACTATCAGTGTATACATTGCAACCGGTCTACAGATTTGTTTTATAGTGGAACGCTCATTAACATGCCAACCAGTTACAAAATTGATGGTGATTGACTGCAGCGAAAAAGGCAAAAATTGGTTGACTCCAAGTGTATAGCCCATCGGCACATGTTGCAATTAACCCACACAACTGACAGTTTTGATTTAATTGCTTTTAAAATTTAAAGGTCGCTAATATAGTCTGACTTTTATGCTTTGAACACATACAGAAGTAGCGCATTACAGCATAGCTGTGAAATAATCTTTACTAATGAGCTATTGATGCATTTTTGTTTACATGTGCAATTGTCTTTTTTTTTAGGATGTTCAGAGAACAGCACAAACATATAGTATGGACAGTATGCAGGGATTCATATCAGAAGGTGGGATCATAGCCTGTGATTATTTGTGTGGCTGAAATGATTGATTATGTGCAGATTATTACTTTGGCATCTATTAAGTCATACAGTACAAACACTAGGGATTCATTGCACAATTTTATTGTGTCAGATTTGAGGCACTAAAATATCCTCAAATTCCCACAAGTACCGTAGGTCTGGTCAAACTGAATATTGAGTGTTCCCTTGATATGTTTGCAAATCTTCACGGCGGCGAACAAGTGTTTTAACATATTTGCTATAGTGTTAAAGTCAGTGTATTAGTATGCATTTCTGTATGCCTGGTGTTGATGGTATGATCTTTTATGGCATGATCATGGTCCACATCATGCACTGTAGTGACATTTTCGTGTGATAGCTGATATTTCACACTGAAGATGTGTATATAAATGTCATCATATCATTATGTATGTGCTCTACTAGACCGTCAACGTCCTTGGGCCCTAATGTAATTGTGTATCCTAGACTTTCAAACGCCAAAGGTGTTTGATGAAAAATGTGAAACATTTCACGTGAGGCACTGTCCTCGTCTGCAGGTCTCTAGTTGATATGGATAATTCATTGTTGATGGTGGTGTCACGAAATAAATTAATATTAACATAATGTATGCAAATTTGTTCTAAATGGCTGACCTCCTGAATGTGTTGGTTGTTCGCAGTATGAACACAAGGAATACAGTCACTCCAACCAAGGAAATACCATGCAATATTTGTGGCAGTCAAATAGAAAATATAGAAAACCGGAGGAGAGTTTCGTGGGATCAACAGAACTACGACATGTAAAGAAATCAAATTTGTTGTGGCATAGATGATCGACCTACATCTTGCCAGCTCATACGCGTGCAAAAAATGTGGACTGCAAGCATTGACTCTGCATAAAAACTTTGATAAGTTCAGGAAGAAATTTCAACGACCTTCGTGTAAGTCGTGGGCGATCTCAGTATTCAGGGACCCCTGACCTCTTTCACGATTGACCACGATAAAATGATAGACATCTCCGCGACTATTTCATTTGCATATAAAAGTACCCAGATCTGGTAAGAAATCTTACCAGTGAATTGCAGCCCCAGACAGTCCCAGCTATCACAATTTATTCACACATATTATGTTTATACACAATATTTATTAATAACAGATTAATATTAGGTACAACCAACTGTCGACAGTCTAGTGCTCGAACAGTGCACTGACAAAACCAACAGTACCATTTTGATCACTGTGATATGAGATTTCAGTCTGGATATTATTAAAAGTTAATTACTGACCTGGTACAATATACAATGACAATAAATTTATGACTCAAAGTTTATTTTGAAAAATATAGTGCTGAGAATATTACATTGTACTACTGATTTTGAAAACCATCGGCAGCTGTAATTGCAAATGCATGCATCAACACTCTTAGATGGTATGGCTAATTACTAGTAGTATATATGTTTTGCAATGACAATTTCTGTTTCCTTTTCACATTTGGAATTGGTTGTTAATAGTGTTGGTTTGGATTGGGTACTCTTTACATCATTGGCTGTACCTACTCATCTGTGGTTTGTACTCAATACTAGCCTATGACGTCACTCGTATTAACCAGCTGTACAAACAAGTGATATGGGGCGATAACCTCATGGTTATTTGTCTTGATGTGAAAATATAGCAGACTGTGTATAGAAGGAGTCATAGAAATTTGAACAAGTAGTTTTGCTGACATTGCGTGAACTATTCTAACTCTTTGCCTTTGAGAGCTGAATATGTTTGATGTGTATTTATTTAAAAGGGTTGATTTTGTTTACACTTCTAATCACATAATTAATCACTCTTAGCTTTGTTGTATTTTGACAATGTCAAACAAGTACTCTTCTGGGCATTCACTACAATTAAACCATACATTGGATTACCACTGTACAATAGTGAATATGTCAGCTAATAATTCATCAAACTCCTGAAAATCATCTTTTTTCAAGTATTATCAGTTAAACAATTGTCACTATTAAAGTATAATTCTGTTGCATAAAAATCCCTAACCTATACGTCATTCCTGCATTTGCAA